AGTTGGAAAATCTAAAATCCAAAATCTTGCCAGCAGGCAGTGTATTTTGCACACAGGTGGGAAATCCAATTCAAAGGTGTCACATTTGTACAATAGCTGTTCTGAGAGTGTTAACCCACAGTGAAGAAGTCACAAATTAATGCAAATATTGTTGCAGGGCAAATGAGCTCTGTTCAAGTGTTATGATCTGATTTAAAGTGAGGTGGGCTTCCTAACTACCTTGCATCAATACTCTCTGGCCTCCTGGAGTCAACAGGCCTGACATGATCCCATTCCCACCTTCCTAGAGGGAAAGCTGAGTCTGACAGAGCCCTTCAAAGCAAGTTAAATTTTCACTTGCAAGTGAGCTAACCACTTGCAAGTGAAAATCCAGCCCTAACCTCTTGTTCACCTATCCTAATATCTCCCTATGTGACTTCCATAGAATCCCTACAGTTTGACAATCAGGCCATTTGGCCCAACAAGTCCACACGACTCTCCAAAGAGCGTCCCACCCAACATTTCCCATGGTTGATCCACCTAAACTACACATCCCTGGACATTACAGGCAACTTAGCATGGCCAATACACCTAACCTGCACATCTTTGGAAGGGAACCAATGCAGACACAGGGAAAATGTGCCGACTCCACACAGACAGTTGCCCAAGGCTGGAATTGAACCTGGGTCCCTGGGTGCTGTGAGGCAGCAGTGCTAACCACTGAGCCACTGTTCTGCCCAAGTATTAATGTTAACTTTTTTGATTGTTTTTCTGAAATTTGGGATGCTTAAATATATTAAAGGTCAATATAAATGCAAACTATTGTTGAATAAAAGCAAAATGCTTGAATGCTAGATTTAATTTTTGTATAGAAGAGAAAACTCCAATGTAAATGCCAAATACCAAGTCGAGAAAGCTAGGTTTTAGCAGATCAATGGATGAGAATAAAGGTTTACCTGTCACTCAGTCTATACTTGGTGGCCCTTTGTGAATTTTTCTTTCTCACCTATGCCATCTTTACATTGCAGAGCACAAGAAAATTAGGACATGGGAACCCCATCTACACAGTTCACCCCCTGTTAGATTAAATCCAAATCCTTGCTGCACCCACTTCACGAGAGCAAGCCTGTACGTGGGAGTTCTGTTGAGGGCTCACATTAAAATAACTAAGCAAAGTCGTTAAGCACAGTGCATCCAGTTGTGGCTTTTTTTTTTGTAAATAAAATAGCCAGTTGGCCATAAATCATGTCAGTGCCAATGCTTCACTGAATTAAGTCATTCAGTCTCAATTTTTGAATAGTGCAATTTTACTGGTCATCTATCATCTTGAGATCCTCAATCACTAATGTCAGCTGAAGCAAGCCTGAAGCTCAGAAGGGTAGTCCTTGAGATGCTATACATTAGAGGTCACATGTAATGTAGTTTGGGAAACGTAAGGGTCTGTTTCTATGCCAAATAACTGTGTGACTATGACAGCATAGGACAGATATTTGCATACAATTGTATTGCAATTCAGACAATCTGGGGTTAAATGATTCACCATGTGAAAGACACCAGTTTAACTGCAGACAATGTTAATGTGATTCTAGTTTGCACATTTTGTTAAGCAACTAACTGTTCCTTAACAAGGACAGCAACAACCTTAATGTGTGGTCCTCCAATTCACACTGAAGTATCGTACAACATTAGCACTACATCCCACAGTCATCAGGATGAGAGGGGGAGAAAAACAAACTTTACTGAGTTACTGTACAATCTGCCTTTACTCTGGGGAAGAAAACCTTTCTCTGACATTTCATCACTTACTCAAGTTTAGGCCACTGAAAGGAAAGTCTTGTCCCCAAAGTTTCCTGAACTAACTTTTCACAAATAAGCAAAGGTCATCAAATCCCTGCAGTGTGGAAACAGGCCCTTCAGCCCAACAAGTTCATACCGACCCTCCAAGCATCCCACCCAGAATCCTGCCTAATCTCACATCCCAGACCACTATGGGCAATTTAGCATGGCTAATCCACCTAACTTGCACATCTTTGGACTGTGGGAGGAAACTAATGCAGACACAGGGAGAATGTGCAAACTCCACACAGACAGTTGCCCGAGGCTGGAATTGAACCCAAGTCCCTGGCACTGTGAGGCAGCAGTGCTAACCACTGAGCCACCGTGCTGGCCTTTTAATTGGATGTTTCTGTGATTCTTGTTGAAATGTCACCTATACAGAGACCCACCCATTGCCATTACAAATCCACTTGAATTTCAGTGATGAAGTGTAAGATGCACATGCAGTGCTAAAGGGAGAACTGGTATCCACCAGATAATTGTTATGCCCAACGAGAATGGTGAAGATTTGAAACACTGCGAGCTATTTCACCGAGCACATGACAAGCTGTAGGCTAAATACTGGTTTGATAACTTGCCCATCAAGTTCTGCACAACCTACATAATGAGCAACTAAACATACACGAAGCTGAAGTTTCTCAAAATTGGATTTAATCTTAGATTTATTTTGCTTGCACCAGTTTTCTTTAAAGCTTCAGAATTTTCATTGACATTTGAATTGTGTTCAAAATCAAAATATATTTTCATGTCCCAACATGATACTAAACCACTTACCAAAAATGCTTTCTACAGGGAATGTGCAAAATAAATTATCTAAATTTAGCTGACCTATTCACATTGGGAGCTATCCAGAACCAAGACAGGCAAGCAAGATTCAGGTCAACGATATTGTCGAGGAACAAAAACAGAAGTTGATGGAAAAGCTCAGCAGTTCTGGCATCATCTGGGAAGAAAAAATCAGTCAATGTATCGGGTCCAGTGACCCTTCCTCACATATTTTGAAGGATGTAGTTTCAGAGGTGTCACTCGGAGAGTGAGGTTTCAGTTTGATGTGTACACCTTGTTGTCTCATTGTAGGTAGGCTGACGTATTTTGAGTGACATTCCAATGCCTGATTTGAATAGTACTATTTCCTCTCTTTTTGGTCTTTAGTCAGCCAGAATTACAAATCCTCTTCTTAAACTACGATTGAAATGGATGAGAACTCTGGTAACAGATAAATATATGCATGTACCTATGTATAGTTTTATACATTGGGTTTGGAAAACTTTGCTACTGCTTTTTCTTGTTTAAAGTTTGGCTTTTGAAAACAAAACTTCCATTGTTTTCTGGTTTACCTACTAAAGGTTTAATCTAAAATCTAAGCCCATTTAACCTCCAAGAGAGTATGACAATCCATCACACTTGTGATAATTGTACAAACACAATGCTCTGCTGCTTTGACAAGTGTTTTCATTTCATTTACCTCTGCTAAATGTTTCTGTCTAAAAGCTTTGCTCTGCAGCATGCTTGTACTTGCAAGGGAAAGCTGAAAAGTGGAACAATATTTTTTATTTGCACCTTGACTCTTTCTCTTGCTGTGCCCTGTCTGAAACAGTGGGGAACTATGAAAACAGCTCCCTCCAGCTCAAAGGCTGTGAATTGTTTTGACAGTAAACTTGTCCTGGCTGAACTAAGAACTGAACCGCGAGCTTAAGTGTGGATGCAGAGAACTCCCCAGTAGCCCGGTGAAATATACAAGCCCGTAACCTCAAGATTTGATGCCTTATAGCTGTTATATTAACTGATTTCATTTGGAGCCAAAGACCAGTGTCCTACAATTGGCCTTTCTCTCTCGAATTTGGCCTGGTTGGAGTTCTTTTTCATTATATAACAACATTTGCTGCAGGCCTGTGTGTGTGTGTGTGTGTGGATAATTGGACTTTTCTCCAGCGCCCGAGTGGTTGCATATTCCACTGGAAGTCTCTGGAGTCTGCGCTGAAGATGGGCTGTGAAATGGCACTCCAACAAGGAAGTGTCACAATCTTGAGCGGAGGAATTAATTTTATACCGTGTTTGTAATTTGGGCCTTCTCATGTTTGTAAGCAACTTGGAAAGATAAAGTTTTCTTTACAAATGTAATGATTTGAAGGAGACTGGATTCAGTGAGTGATGAATACAGAGACCTCTGTTGGATTTGGCACAATCATCTGAATTGCATCCTGAAGCAATGCAATGTCAGATTATTGTATGAATGTGGAAGATCTTAGATTGTAGAATCCCTACAGTGTGGAAACAGGGCCTTTGGCCCAACAAGTCCACACTGACCTTCAGGGCATCCCACCCAGATCTATCCCCCTATAGCCTACCTAATCTACACATCCCTGAACACTACAGGCAATTTGGCATGGCCAATGCACCTAGCTTGCACATCTTTGGACTGCAGGAGGAAACTGGAGCACCCAGAGGAAACCCACACAGACACAGGGAAAATATGTCTCTACACATACAGTTGCCCAAAGGTGGGATTGAACCCAGGTCCCTGGTACTGTGAGGCAGCAGTGCTAGCCACTGCGCCAGACTCAGACAAATTCCCCATGTGTTAACTTGATTGTTGGAGCAAGGGTACAAAGAAGACAGTAAGGGAGAGAGAAACCGAACTTGCAGTGTCTCCCAGAGTACTATTCTACCATTGAGGAGAAAGATGAGGCAAAAATACACTTCTTACTGTTTCGTGAACAGCTTCCCTAGTAGACACACCAATTGACAGCAAGATGAGAAAAGAAGTAACAGGTACAAAATGCAAATATATCTGTACCAACTCCCTAAGGTCATACTCATTATGTCTGACCAAATATAGTTGTGCTAAGTGTTATGCAGTAAGCTGCTGCCTGATCTAAGAACCGTGCCCCTTCAGTATTTATTCTACAGTGGTGTACTCTCTGCCACTAATCACCAGACAGGCCCAAAACCGAGGAGGATTGGTGGCAACAAATCTTACCCAGCACCACATACTGGTAGAGGTGGTAAATACCACAAAGTGCCTGGAGTGGTTACCTGGGAAAATATCTCCATTATTCTAGGAAACCGTTACTAATTCTGGTTCAAATTTACAAGGCATATTTCTGGCAATATGAGAATTTTTACGTATAAAATGTTATCAAAACAGTACTGTTTCTGACTGGATTTACTTTTTTTTTGAACAGGAGAATATCGTAGCTGAATCAGTGCCCACTAAGTTATCTGCAAGTACCTTCCAGCAGCCAGAACTTCACTTCCACAATGAGAAATCAGGTAGAAACATTAGAAATTGCCTCCCTGTATACCATCTGATTTTGTTTGGGGTTCTGTCCACTGTAGAGATGGACTGCCTCATTTTGAATAGTTCACACTGACTTAACTTTATTCTTGGGGTGGGGTGGGGTGTAAGCAGTATGCGTGGTAAGAATAGACAATTGCTAGAATAGACAATGTAGATGCACTCTGTGATCAAAGAGGTAAAGAGTTTTTTATGCCATTCGGGGTTCCAAATGGCAGCTTGCTGGCATATCAATTAGTGGATATAACAGAAATAGCAGAGTGAGAAGTCAGAGGTTGAGATTCTGCATTGGTCTAACTTCCTGGTGTTTTCATTGTATTTGCAGTGTGGTTGGTTTGAACTTTCAGAAGTGCCACAGTTTGGGTACATGTGCGGTCTTGACCCAGGCTCCCAATTGACAGAGCTATGGACTAAAGTGATCTCCCAAAATTAATTTACAAAGTTGAATGAGATATATTGGGCTACATTTTTTAAAAGAATAGTCAAGACTCTCTCCCATATCCCCAAAAACACAGACTTTATTAAGGTAGTGCATCAATGTCTATTTCTCCTCCCCACAGTATTTTTTCAACTTGGGTAGATAACATCAGAACAAAAATAAATGTGCCATTTACGATAGAATCTGACAGTGGAATATAATAGTTGGCCACATTATTTACAGATCAGGACAGACTGAACAGAAAGTTATAACTTTTAATCACAAATCAGATAAAGAACTTTGCGAGATGAACAGACATTTCTCATCACAGAAATTATGTCAAAGTATTCATAATTTCTGTGACTCTGAACAAATAGATATGAAAACGAATGGCAGTTGAGAAATTTGTCAAACTCAGTGGGAGTTTCTCACCACAACATTGAGACCATTCTTTCAGATATCAACATTTCAATACAAAATTTAATCATCGTGGAATTAGTCATATTGATTTTGAAATAATGGTTCCAAAACTAATTTGGCTTGATTTTCACTTGGTGTAGTTGCGTTTTAACAGTTGTTTTTCGGATAATGAGGGGGTTGACTTTTTGAGTTTTAAGATTACAGATAATGATGGCTCAAATGGAAACTTTTTTAAAATGTTGGGCCTCTTACCTTATTTACAAAGAGTAAATAAGTGAGTAAGTAGGAAATTGTTTTTGTTCTTAAAGTTGCTGAAGAAGCTCAGCAGGTCTGGCAGTATCTGTGAAGGAAAAAACAGAGGGGCACTGGACCCGAAACGTTAACTCTGTTTTTTCCTTCACAGATGCTGCCAGACCTGCTGAGCTTCTCCAGCAACTTTGTTTATGTTCCTGATTTACAGCATCCACAGTTCTTTCGTTTTTTTTCTTTAAGTAGGAAATGAAGTTGCTGCTACACTTGCCGTTGAAAAAAAGTGCTTGAAACAAATATTTTGAAGAGAAAACTGTCAATCTTGCATAGTTATCTAACATTAACCCTAATTCCAAACTATTGGTGAGGTCTCTTCTGGAATACTGTTCCAGTTCTGGTTGCCCAGTTATAAGAAGGATATTATTAAGCTGGAGAGGGTTCAGAAGAGATGTACCAGGATGTTGCTGGGTATGGAACGTTTGAGTTATAAGGAAAGGTTGGATAGGCTGGGACTTTTTTCACTGGAACGCAGGAGGTGTAGAGGTGACCTGATAGAAGTTTTGTAAAATAATGAGATGTATAGATATAATTGGTAATTGCCTTTTCCCTAAGATGGGGAATTTCAAGACTAGGGGATACATTTTTAAGGATAGAAGAGAGAGATTTAAAAAAAGACATGAAGCAGTTTTTTTTTTAGAGGGTGGTTCGAGCGTGAAATGAATTTGCTGATTAGGTGGTGGATGCGGGTACAATTACAACGTTTAAAAGACGTTTGGAGAGATAAGGGCCAGGAGCAGGCAGGTGGGACTAGTTTAGTTTGTGATTATGTTCAGCATGGACTAGTTGGACCAAAGGGTCTGTTTCCGTGCTGTATGACTTTCTGCAGTCAATTCGTTAGGACTGGAATGAGGAGATATACATAAACACTTGTTTTCGTATCTTTTTTTAAAATTTGTTTCAAATTACTAGTAAAACAATTTTACAAGCTTGGCTGAGATTAAATAACTCCACACTTACCAGGGACTGAATCTGAAAGCTTTCTAAATTGGCACATCAGAGCTTGATTTTCTGTATCTCTCCCTTCCAGTGGTTTGGAAGGTTGGCATGGCTTGCAGAATGCAGCATGTAGTCCGCCCACTGTCTTCCTACTACCTCTGGCCTCTCTTATGGTTTCCAGCGCATAGGAGAGGTGCTGGATGGCCCACCCTCCTGGGGCCTATTGGGGCCTCTTATATAACCAATTAACAGCCACTAAGGACTTTGCGATGACCCTGCCACTACCTTTATCTGTGGCAGGAAGATGACCACGCCAAATTGGAAGCCTGGCAACTTTCACTTCCTGAGCAGGAAAGGGGGTTGTTCCTTCCGTTGGATCTCCAATATTCATCATTGGCATCCTAGAGGTCCTCGTTTTCCCTATACACCCTTCCTCCCATGCACTGCTGGGATTTTAGAGCTGACAGCCATCAGAGTCACCAGCAGTTGTCTAAGACAGGACCTCCTCCAGACATGCTTTCTGGTGAAACTTCAATAAAAGCTGCTTCCAAATGGTCAAAGGACAGTGACACTCTGGAGGGTGGGCATGCCGTTGACTTTTTATCCCCCCAGGTGATCAGGGACCATAATGCCTCATAAAACCCATCCAAATGGCTCAGTTCACTAGCTGAATTTGCTGTATTTTCTCCCCACTGAGGTAAATGTTCCACAAATGTTACTTAAATGCTGTCTTGCTCTGTGTGCGAGCTTGACCTAACTCAGTATCACAGTTGAGGGCGTTTTGACTGATTTTATTTCCCTGATAGGTGCCCCAATCGAAGTCCCCCAACTGCAGAGCTCGAATACCAAACTGAGAGCCTCCTAGTCCTAGTGCCATTAAGATTGGAGGGAGAAAAATTAGCAAATATTTGCGCAATTTTTTTTAATTATCGAAGTGCACAGCAATTTTCACATCAAGATTTTGAAGGATTGCAGATGTTTAATGCTTTATTCTATGGCTCTCTCATAGGAAAACAGCCTGCATGTAGTCAATTGATTTATTACAATGTGGTGCATTCAGTGAAATTTCAAACTTCATTATCATTATAATATATCCAGTAAAATAAGATTTTGTACTCAATTGTGTTAAAGTCTCGATCCTGTTTTTCTTCGTCAGAGAGACTAGACTGGCCAAAGAACGTGCTGGTGAACATCTTTTATACTGGGTGACACTAGACAAAATTACGATAAGAAATCATTTGCCATAGTTGTTTCTTTTTTTTCTGTGTAACACTAGGAGGCATCTCATCCTCAGCAAAATTAAACTAAGAAGTAGCCAAAGGTAATACAGTCTGCTTGAATCATAGTTTCTGTCAAACTATATAAAACATTATCAGCCCATATGTTGCTCACTAAGTAAGCAGTACGCGAGTGTTAATAAATCATGATGTGGACAGAATAGGAGAAACAAACTTATGAAAAATTTATGCAAATTTTTGCAATTGTTTTGCAGATTTAAATTGGAGCACAAATGCTAGATTCAAACAAATGTCAGGTGAATACCAGACGAGTGAAGATGCATTTTCCTTATTTAAAGCAGGTAAATGAATAACTTAGAGGTGAATTATTAATGAAGTAACATTAGTGATGGTACAACAGTTGGTCCATTGCACAAATGTATGCAATTTCCTCACATCCTTGGTCATCTATCATAGAATTTCTCCGTATGTAAGCATCAAAATTGTGATAGGTGATCTGAAATAATTAACAATGTGCCTGCCAATGGTCAGACGTACCACTTTACTGGCCAAAAGGTCAGTCAGCTGTCTAGTTGTTTCCACTGTCTCATGGTCTAAATAAATTTTTTGAGCTCAAAATCTAACATATATATTTGAAAAAAAATTAATCCACATGTCTGTACTTGCACTGAATGAGTTGGCTTCTCCCTTTTGACATGTTTTCAGAAAAGCCAACTGATTTCTTCCAACAAAATGAGCTGGAAAACTCTGCTATGAATGTAGTCCTTATTAGCCACTTTTCTATTATGACGGAATAAAGGAAATCGTGGATTAGAATTCTGACAGTGTGGAAACCGGCCATTCGGCCCAACGAATCTACTCTGACCCTCTGAGGAACATCCCACCCAGATCCAACACAACCCCTAACCCCTAACCCCTAACCCCTAACCCTGTATTTCCCATGGCTGATACACCTAATCTACACATCCCTGAGCACTATGGATAATTTAGCATGGCTAATCCACCTAACTTGCACATCATTTGGATTGTGGGAGGAAACCGGAGCATCTGGAGAAACCCACGCAAACACTGGGAGAACGTTCAAACTCCACACAGAGAGACACCAGAGGCTGGAATCAAACTGGGTCCCTTAAGCTGTGAGGCAGCAGTGCTAACCACTGAGCCACCCAGAAGGCAATAGCAACTTAATTTTCACATTTGTTTGTCACACCTGGTAAGAGTGTAAGACATTTGAACAAAGACCAGCTCTAATTAGCAGATTGGCTAACTTTAATATGAGGTGATGCAAGATGGAGTAAAAGTATATGCATGGGCTTCCCACACGACTCATTGCTTAAATCGTTATATTGCTGAACTGCACAAACCAGCGGCTTTTATACCTTCCCTATATTACAGTCTTGGCTGGAATAGTACTGCTGGTGCTGTGATAGGTTTTGGTGCATTGGGTTAGCGAGAGACAAAATATCACACAGCAACTCTTCCTTTTGATCCATATTCACTGTGTCCCTGATCAAAGGTATGTGTAGCAAGACAGTAATTCAGGTTTGAGTGTAAAGCCATTATGTTTGAATAAGATTGTCACAATTCACTTTCTGTGCTCATGGGTAAGGCATTCGAGAATAACTGATGGCTTTAGAACTGTACTCAGTATAAATCAGCCACTGTTGGGAAGGGAAGAACACGTGAGTGTCCAGCATCTACTAGCAGATAAAACTATTTGACTATAATCACTGAATATTTCAAGTTGCCAGAGAGACCAGCTGAATTTTTGACTGCATATTAAAATGAATTTGTAGAATCCCTACAGTGTGGAAGCAGGCCATTCGGCCCATTGAGTCCACACTGACCCTCCAAAAAAGCATTCCAACCAGACTTACTCCATCCTTGTAGCCTTGAGTTTCCCAAGCCTAGCCCATCTAATCTACACATTCCTGGACAATATGGGCAATTTAACATGGCCAATCCACCTAACATGCATGTCTTTGGCCTATGAGAAGAAATCAGAGGAATCCCAAGCAGACACGGGGAGAATGTGTGCAAATTGCACATAGACAGTTGACTGACAATGGAATTGAACCCAGGTCCCTAGCACTGTGAGGCAGCAGTGTTAACCACTGAGTCACTGTGCCACCCCAAATTATTGAAGTCATGTCACCAATAAGGTTCCAAATGAGATGTTTTGTGAATTTACACACATGCATTTTAACTGTTGCCCAAAAATGCTTCGTTTTTTTTCCTCACTCCCCTTCTGACTAATTTGCTCCCTTCTTTTGCGAAGAAAATGTCATCATTCAACCACAAAGGTAAAGGTAAAGTTGCCATAGTCCTCCTGGGCTTACAGGCCTGCTGTCACATTGGAGAGAGACAACTGGTGCTGGTTTAACCTGAGGGTCACCATGCCTCAGGCGAGGGGAGAAGTTGAGAAGGAGAGTCCTTTGTGTAGCCTGAGCTAGTGTGGGAATTGAAGCCATACTGTTGGTATCACTGTATCTCTAACCAGCTGAGTTAACGGTCAGGACACCAATCCCAATTCCGTCATCCTCCCAACATCCACATTTTTATTCGAGGTGGTACGTTAGTAAGCAGCAGGAGGTATACTTTTTTTTTTCTCCTTCCTAATCCTGGCATATTGGCAACTAACAACATAGACTACGTAAGAAAACCAGGACAATTCTTTAGTCCTTGTGGCTTGGCAACTCACTTCCATTAACAAACTCAGCCATCAGGAATGCTCCCAAATTCCCCCATGCTAAAGATTATATGAGGAATTTGCTTTTCATGTGTGAGACATGTAAGCAATGGTGGCATATTGTAGCAATCTGGAGTCCGTATCTGAAGTTGAACACTGAGTTGGTCCAGCCACGTAAATGCTGAGGTTATTGGAAGAGGTCAGAGGCGGGGTACTCCACAGTGGGCAAGTCACCTCCCATCACTCAAAAACCTCTTCAGTACCTACAAGGCAAAGATCTGAAGTGTGATGGAATACCCTCAGTTTCAACAATCAAGAAACTGGAAATGATCCAAGTCAAATGAGTCCACTAATCACCACTTTGTTTACTGGTTCAGACATCTATGCCAAGGTGATATCTGCAGGCGGTTTTACTGTAACTCCAAGTTGTTTTCGCACCGTGTCAAATTCTCTTCTGTCACAGAGCATCGTGACTTGGATATATATTGGTTAGTAGTGTCTGTGGGATCCTGGGTTTCATAAAGACAAGTATTGAGTGCAAACATAGAGTTATATTAAACGTATATAAATTTTAGAGCTCGGTTAAGGTATTCCTTCGAATTCTGGTTGTCCTAATAGAAATGAATGCCATTATTTGTTAATTCCTCACTTAAGGTCTTAGATGCTCTTTAAAATTGTGACCTTAAGCGAGACTACTTGAAATAAATTAAAGGTCCCTTTAAGAATCCATATCAAAGCCTGAGTTAGGGTTTCTCGGTCAGTGCTTGAAGGGTTAGGTTGATGAGTGGTTTGTAGTTTCCAAGTTAACATTGGATTGTGACCAACCAAAATAGACAGGGACACCCATGAGTCAGTGGGGATGTTTGATCCCTTTATAAATGCTTTCAGGAGATCTCAGTCTGCCCAACACTGAACTGGTACACTGGAGGCAATGGTGAATTTTGTGTCTATTATCTACTTCCAATGATGAGGCTCTTAAAATACAGAAAATGGTCCACATTTCCAGGATCTCATCACTGACGTTAACTGATAGTCCTTATTGTTTTCACCAAACTGGTCAGAATGTCTCTTGGCAGAGAGGCCAAGGACCTCTGAGCAGGTCTAACGCACATCTGGTGGCTGAACGAGCATATAAATTAGGAGCAGGAGTAGGCTATTTGACCCCTTCAAGCCATTCAGTAAGATCATGACGTTAACTCCCCTTTCCTACCTCCTCCCTGATTCCCTGTTAGTCAAATGTCTACCTACCTTTATCTTAAAATTATTAATTAACCCTACCTCTATTGTTCCCTGAGGAAGAGAGTTCCAAAGCCTCCTGACCTTCCAGAAATAATTTCTCCTCCTCTACATCTTAAAGGTAGCCCTTTATTTTTAGAACATGACCACCGTTCTGAATGGGGGGGAGTAGGGCCAGTACCATTAAAGACTTCAAAGGGAGAAAGTGTTCCTGCTTGTAAAAGGAACAAGAATTCAAGGGTGTAGATTTAAAGTAATTTATGTAAGACAAGGTTGATGTGTGGAAAAGAAAACATTGTCTCTTAGTGAATAGTTAGGATCTGGAATGCATTGCCTGGAAATATGGTGAAGGCAAGTTCAATTGAGGCATTCAAGAGGGCACAATCCAGATGCACTGGTCAAGATGCACTGCAATGTTTTAAAGCTGATGTGGGTGCAAGGCGTGCCAGTCTTTGGGCAGATACCTGCTAAGTGGTGAAGGACATCTCCAGAAGATGTTGGAGAAGGGGATGAAGGCACTGTGATTCACTGACAGGAACCTGGCTGTCCTGGTGGACAGGGTGGTTGAGAAGAAAGATGTTCTTTACTCAAAGATCACCAGAGGAGACCATGTCACCAGATCCTGCCAGCTAGGTCTGAGTCAGGTCAGTGCTGTCTCTATGGTGTGGGGACAGCAATGCCATAAAAAGATGAATTATCTTCATCGCTCTGCTGGGGCAAGTGCTACACCCTTCTCTTCCCCCACTCTATCTCTACCACTGTGTCACTATTGGCTGCAGCATCTTCCCTCACTTGCTCTCCCATCTCCGCCTCCCACACAACTGACCTTGCATGACCTCTGTATTGTCTCTTTGATCCTTTGTTACATCTCCTCACCTTCGTGAGAATGGTAGAGCATGTGCTTTGGTGGGAGGTGGGTACAGTAGCAGAGCGAGTGGTTGAGATACTGAAGAGAAGCTGGTGGCACTTACACTGGCTGAGTGGATTAGATCATTGACCTTCTTTCAACATCATTGTGCATTCCGCCAGGAAGCAATGTCCTGGTATCGTAGCCTCAATTGTTGTTTCTGGGGGAAGAGGAAGTCCTGCCTGTCCAACACTGTGTCCAACAGGACCTCCAGGTCCCTGCCTGCACAGCAGGATGCCAGATTTACGCCTGTCTGCCATGTCTGAGGCAGATGTGAGGAACTGTGCAAGGCAGATATGGACTGACCATGCCAATCTAGCTTTTAAAGATGGAGTGGATGTAACAGACGCTGGTGAATTCTGAGATATCTGCATGTGTGGAGAGTTCTCCTGGGACATGCGGTAAGATGGAACCAGAACCTAATGTGACAGACACAGTAGGGGTGGGTAGTTAATGAGGCAAGTTTCGTAAGTGACGTCAAGGAAAATTTGCTAGACCTCGCAGTGCAAATCCCTCCAAAAGACTTTACATAACTTGGAGTCAACCAAAAAAGAATTCCGCCTAGCCGTATGATTGAGGAGAAGCAACATGGATTTATGGAAGAAAAATCATGTTTGGCAAACCTGGTGAAGTTTTTTGAGGATGTTACGTAGAATACATAAAGGAGAACCAGTGGGTGTGATGCATTTAGAATTTTAGAGACTTTTGATCAGATCCCACACAAGTTAGTGAATAAAATTAGAACATATGGGTTTGTGGGTATTATGAGACCATAAGACAAAGGAACAGAATTAGGCTATACAAACCCATCAAGTCTGCTCTGCCATTTAATGATGGTTGATATTATACTGTGTGGATTGAGATTTGGTTAACAGAGTTGGAATAAACGGGTCCTTCTCAGTATGGCAGCCTGTACATCTGTGGTACCACAAGGATCAGTGTAAGGGCCACAACTGTTCGCAATCTTTATAAATTATTTCAATGTGGGGACCAAATGTAATATTTTCCAGATCTTCTAATGACATATAACCAAGAAGGCATTTGAGTTGTGAGGAGGACAGAATATGACATCAGGAGGACTTTAAGAGGTTATGTGAGTGGGTAAGAACACAGCAGACAGATATAATATGATTAAGTGTGAATTTATTCACTTTGGTAGGAAAAAAACATAGGAGAGGGTAGGTTTTAAATGGTGAGAGATGGTTGGGAAGTATTGGAGTCCAAAGACCAGGGTGTGTTTGCTCATGAGTGACTAAAACCTAGCATACAAGTACAGCCAGCAATTCGGAAGGCAAATGGTATTTATCACAAGGAGATTTTCAGTACAGGAGTAAAGATGTCTTGTTGCAATTTTGTACAGCCTTGATGGGATCAGACCTGGAGTGCTGTGTTCACTTTTGATCCCCTTCTCTAAAGAAGGGTATATTTGCAATAGAGGGGTTGCAGCAGATTTTACCAGACTAATCTCTGGGAAGGTGGGATTGTTTTATGAGGAGAGATGGAGGAAACGGAGTGTGTATTCTCCAAAGAATGAGAAGTATTTTCTGACCCAGAAGTAGGGACATAGACATTGCATCACAAGAGCTCCCAATCTATCCATTGTAATGGCAGTGTCTTATACACTAGTTACAAGTTTGAAAATGAGGACTCTTTACATTTCCAGAATGAAGACTGATAATCATAGGAATCAGAGCTCGGGAATCATTTTGCTTTTCCATTTCTTTCATTATTAATCCAACTTTACTAACAGACTGGTGTTATAAAACCTTGCTAGCAGAAATAACAGCTTGCAACTGGATAATCAATGGTTAAAAGAATAGCAGTGCCCAAAGGGAAAAATCTGGATCTTTCTTCCTGAATGTGCATATCTTTATAAAGTGCAGGATTCCAAACCTTTATTATAATTATTTAAAAATGTGATTTTTTTTTCATAAATTACTTCTATTCAAGAGGCTTCTGCTTTAATGTGTGACATTCTGTTTTTGAAGGTTGTAAGGAATTGGATTGCAGCCAGAAAAGGAAAACAAGACCCAGGTAATTTACATGCCCTAAATAGCTGCTTAAATATCTAATGTTTATTAAAATAATTGTGCATTTTATATGCACAATGTGCTGTATGATGTATTGAAATACTCCCATGCATTTAGATTATCATCTATCTGATTTACTGCTATCTCCAGCACATTAATCAACCATGGCTGGCTCCCAGTGGATGCTGAAAAAAATGTAATAAACTAGTTAAGTGAGCTCTGCAAATTAGTTGAAAAGCTAGCTGTGTAAAGTAGTGCTTGGAATGAGACTTGCTTCTCAGACAAATGCCATACACAATGGGTAGCTTCTGGCTGCACCAATATCAATTCTCATTGATTTCCTTTTGGGCTCTTCTCTGAAACCTAGCCGAGACTGATGGCAGTTTAGACAACAAGGCTTTCCTGCTCCTCCAATGCTGCTTGGCTTGCTGTGTTCATCCAGCTCTACACCTTGTTATCTCCGATTCTCCAGCATCGGCTGTTCCTACTATCTCTGGTAGTTTAGACATCTGCTTTTACTGTATATTTTATCTGATTTTAACTCTTAAAGGATAAAAAAAAATGTCTTGGCTGTAGTGCAAAATAAATGGGATCACTTTGGGCTCCTAGTAAATGCGTCATTTTACATTCCGTTCTGTTAATGTCAATGGATCTAAATATCACATATTACCAGTGTGTAACAAACAGCAAGTACAGTTTTGCCTGTTATATAGTGGCCCAAGAGAACCTTCTACTCTATAAAATGTTATGGATTGTACACCATAGCTGCATAATCTAATGGAGTTCCACTTTGGAAATCGATCATAACTGACTGACTGACAAATTTGTCCAATTCAGCTTTGTATATTGAAATACAACAATTGTTTCATGACAGATCAGATTCTTTGAAGCACAATACTTTCTTTATTCTTGTACACAATCAAAACTGTCACAACATCACAATGTCTCAAAACGCTTTTCAGCTAATGAACTACTTGTCAAGTGTAGTCATTGTTGTAATATGTGGAACACAGCAGCCAGTTTGTATAGGGTGAGATTCAACAAACAGCAGTCAGATAAAATTCGGAAAAGATTTACAAAAATATTGCCAGATTGAAGGGTTTGAGCTATAGGGAGAAGCCTAATAGGCTGGGGCCATTTTCCGTGGAACGTTGGAGGCTGAGGGTTGACCTTAAAATCATGAGGGGCATGGAAAGGATGAATAGTCAAACCCTTTTTCCCTCGGGTAGAGAAGTCCAAAACTAAAGGGCATAGATTTAAGGTGAGTGGGAAAAGATCGAAAAGCGACAACATTTTCACACAGAGGGTGGTGCATGTATGAGCTACCAGAGGAGGTGATGGAGGCTGGTACAATCACAACATTTAAAAAGTTTCTGGATGGCTATATGAATAGGAAGGATTCAGAGAAATATGGGCCAAATGCTGGCAAATGGGACTGGATTAATTTTAGATTCTCTGGTCAAAATGGAAGAGTTGGATCAAAGAATCTTTTTCCGTGCTGTACATCTCTATGACTCTAAATGTTCAACGCAACTGTTTTTCTTGCCAGTTGAATTGTAATTTGGTCACTCGATGTACAAATCTCTTACAATGCTGGCACAATTTAAATACACGCCTTTCTCTCCAACAGGTCATACTCTAGTACCTCTGCTGAAGATGCTATTAAGAAAGCAGAAGTGCCTCCGACTCCCCCACCAAGACTTCCAAAGACTCACTCCAGAGCCTCTTCCCTGGACCTTAATAAACTTTTCCAGCAAGGTAACCAATGTAAGTCATCCTTCCATTGTATGTGATGAGTGAACTATGTTGCGGAAGCTCCCTGTTGCTTTTAGTCCACATCTATGAAGCAAAAAGAATAGCTCCTAATTATTTATATCACAAGAAAGGAGATTTCACTACATTTTTCGTATAATTTTACCCAAATGCACCTTTAACCTTTTACGCTGCATGTTATAACACATCATCTTGCATATTAGAATTTAGTGGTTTGTACCCAGAATTCTGCTTTAATGCCCAACATAAACATATCACACACATTCCACATACTACAACAATGACTACACTTGACAAGTAATTCATTAGCTGAAAAGCATTTAGAGACATTGTGATGTTGTGACAGTTTTTGATTGAAGCGCAATACTTTCTTTGTTCTTGTACACAAAGGATCTGGTCTGCCATGAAGCAACAATTGCATTTCAGTATGCAAAGCTGAATCGGACATATTTGTTCTGAGGAAGGGTCACTGGAACCAAAATGTTAACTCTGATTTTTTTTTTCTTCACAGATGTTGCCAGACCTGCTGAGCTTTTCCAGTAACTTCTGTTTTTGTTCCTGATTTATAGCATCCGCAGTTCTTTCAGTTTTTATAAAAATATCACATCTTGACCAAAAACAAAATTGCTGGAGAGGCTCAGCAGGTCTGGCAGCATCTGTGAAGGAAAAAACAAAGTTAACGTTTCGGGTCCGGTGACCCTTCCTCAGAACATATGGTCACATCTTGACCATCATTTGAAATCTTCAAAGCTTTACAAAAAAGTCTGTCTCCTGTTGTGTATCATCCAGTTATATTTGTCTCCTTATGGCATAATGTCCATAAAAGACATACCTATAGCTCAACAGGTGTTTAGGTTAGTAGGGTCAGTCTTCGCTAGGTAGATGAGCTAGATCATGTCGGTTTTATTGCCACTTTAGTCTGAATTCTGCTGGGTCGCACTAATATTTCCAAAAATTGCCTAAACTAGTGCAAGGGATCGAGGAGTTCCAAGCACAAGTTATTTGTTGTGCAAATCAATCTTTCACAATCTTTGATTTAAAAACATTGGGCTGAAATGGATTACCCCAAAGCCGAAGTTCTTGGTCCCAGCTGGCATGCTGATCTCAAATAGGAAATGACAAAAGCACTTAAAAGCACTGGTTTAGAGAGGAAGGATTGGACTGAATTCTCATTCTCAATTGGCATTCGTTAGCATATTTCTGGAAGTTCATGTATCTGGATGTTAGATAAAAAATAGATCGGGATTGTTGATGATACTGGCATGGTCAGGTTTATTGACATTTACAACGAGGTTTTGCATTGAAACAAGGCACCAAAGAATACCAATGTGGCCTTGAAGTGTGTTTCAACAGTGGCTCAATACATTCGGTGTGCATTCGGAGAATTTAAAGATAAAAAGCTTTTATTCTTTAGATCTCCTGATACAAGTTGCAAGAAACGTTGTGATGCCACCAGCATAATGAGTTCCTGATTGAGCCATGGACGAGAGTGAGGGGAGCAGAGATGACGTGATTATCCCTGTGTGAGGGCAATTAGGATAGGATGCATGGTGTGCAAGAGCTTGAAGAAAAGGAAAGAAAGAGATGAATTTTAAAAAATATCCAGTCATAAGGTGAGGTTTATCTAATGCGTGCAATTTGTAGTAAACCCTTTGGCCAGGGCCTACCAGGTACATTAGGGATTGCCCATTGCAGTTTGATTATGTAAGCATAGTAACATTCTAAGTTGCTATCAGTGATACTATTAGTTTGTACATGTCCATTATAACCATAATATCGCATGTGCGAGAAATGGGAGAAAAAGCAAGAAAATTAAAAAGCCAAAATCTGAAAGCTCTGAGAGCCTAGCTTTCTTTACCAGACCTCTGCAGTCACAAGCTGACATTGTTTAAATCCCCTATGAGTTTGCCTGCTTATTGAATCTGCTATGGCACATACCCTGGTGGAACGTAGTAGATTATTTAGTCTCTTGTGACTTTGGGATTAGGTTCTCTTGTGCTGCCCAGGGGCACTAACCTCCACAGTGTATTCAGTCCAGGCTAACTTTCAATCAAGATGGCCTCCTGTTGCCATCCTAGCAAAGAGAACATTTCCTTCTCTCCTAGATGGTCTTCAGCAGAATCCCGAGGGAGGTGTCACTGCTCTGTGAGGGTCTCTTTCAGTTTGACCTCTACGTACAGCCTGGGAGCTGCAACACACATTGGATAATGCTCATGGCTTGCAGAACATGCAGTGTTCTACATTGCTCTTTAAATATGCCATTTGGATGTTTGACCCTGGAAGATCCAGGCAGGAATGAGAAGTTCCTGTCTGTCCCATAAGATTTGGCATCCTACTTGCCCAAGCATATGTAACAAGCTGAGAAGCACGTAATTGCAAATGAAAACCTGACCTGCTCCCGAGGTTGAAATAGCTCTCGCTTTTGCAACTAATGTCACACCTGCATTGGAATTACATTGTAGAAGATGTTCTAACTGTTAGAATCTTTTATGTAGTCATTTCACTGCAGAGCTGTTCAAGGAAACAATGTATTTGAGACTGTCACCTTTTCTTGAAACTCCATGTTATTTTCCACTTCTCTCTTGCACAGGGCTGCAAAATCTTCAAGTAAGTTGCTGCTGTCTGAAAATGTAACTCCTTTAGCGAGGGTGTTGGGAGAATTTGTGCAAAACCCTTATTTCACAAGTAGAATACAGGCTGTCTGCTTATAATTGAGGCCACTCTGCCTGAAACAAACCTACTCAGGATCACTGTTTTACTCAAGTGTGCTTCTGTATACTCCATTCAGGAGCTTAGTTGAGAAGTGTTGAAACTTGTGTAAGAGGGCTTTAGTGTGAAAGAACTTTTCAGGCAAAGAGAAATAAATAGGGTTTCTTCTTTTGTTTATTGCATGCTGAACTAAATTTGTGACCAGTAGCTTCAGTGGGCTGCCAAGAGACCAAATCACTGGCTGATGTGGAACAGAGGCATGCTGATATAGCCGGACAATTAGATTTAATGTTCTACAAGACTCAGTGCCTCAGATTCAACTTGATCCAGATTACCTTATAGTCCCTTGGGAGGAATTTAAATATTCTGAAAATCAGATTTGCCTCATTAATTAGATATCTCATGTATCAGTCTCACCTGTCAGATATTTAAATCTGAAAAGTTTCTTTGCGTTATAAAGGCACTTCATTGTTTTGCACTGCATTTTGCTTGGAGTTTAAGCCTTAAGTTGGAGAGAAAAGATGACTCAGCTGATCATTCATTCCTGTTTCTGACAAAAAAAAATCTTTTTGTTGTGAGTTCAGGATGAAACGTGTTTGTTCTTCTGGAATACTGACTGAGAGATATTATTTTATATCACATTTCCTGAACAAGCTGTGTCTGCCAAGACTTCAGAGACAACAGCATGTGTTTGATGACCTATTTAAGAAGGCCTTCTGGTCCAGCAAGTTGGCAAAATAATATCCAAACCTGATCTTGTTCCTCTTCAAGGACAAAAACCCATTGGTGAAAGTGGCTGTCCTTTAGAAGCCAATCTCTGCCGAGGAAACAGAGAAAATAATTTATTAATCTTTAACTGTGTGTCCTGGCTTATTTAGAGGAATGAATATTTGTACTTCTTTATTACAGACTCTGTGCTAGCCAATTTTGTATCATCGTTGAATAAGATTTACTTTATAATAAGTTGCTATGTGTGTGTTTATTAATGAATAATATTAAGGAATAATGCCTGGTTAGGAGAATCGTCAGTAAATGGAGTTGAAGCCAAGATGAGATCAGCCTTATTCGTATTAAATGGAGGAGCAGACTCGAGGGGCTGAATTGCCTACTCCTGCTTCTAGTTCTTAAGTTCTTATGAAACCTGGTTGATGATCCTTTTTATTTCAAAGCTGACACTGATAAGGTATTGAATTGGATAACTTGGTAACTAGGAAACACATTTTCACTTCATGTTTTGACCTGTGCGGTATTGGGACTAGGCCAATAGTGCACTCCTATGGCCGTGGTCATAGCATTTGAACCAAAGTGGGCCGAACTGTTTTTTTGAATTTCTTGGAAGAAGAAATTTTCTTCTTCTCTCTAGATCTTTTTTCTTTCTGAAAGTACTATACCTTGCTCGGATACAATGCCTTGTTAGGTGAAAAGGTAAAATCCAATACCAGGGTCCTGTGCTTAAACAAAGGAGACGACAATAGGATGAGGGAGGAGTTGGCTAAAGTAGACTGGGAGCAAAGACTGTATGGTGGGACACTTGAGGAACAGTGGAGGACTTTCAAAGCAATTTTTCAAAGTGCTCAGCAAAAGTATATATCAGTAAAAAGGAAGGACTATAGGAAAAGGGGTAATAACCATGGGTGTCTAAGGAAATAAGGAAGGCTATCAAATTGAAAGATAAGGCATACAAAGTGGTAAAGACCAGTGGGAAACTGGAAGATTGGGAAAACTTTAAACATCAACAGAAAGCCACAAAAAAAGCTATAAAGAAAAGTAAGATAGTTTACTCTTGTAATCTAACTCCGAATATAAAGACAGATAGCAAAAGATTCTACAAATATATAAAACGAAAGAGTGGCTAAGGCAAACATTGGTCCTTTAGAGGATGAGAAGGTAAATTTAATAATGGGAAATGAGGAAAAAGCAGAGGCATTGAACAGGTATTTTGTGTCGGTTTTTACAGTGGAGGACATGAATAGCATGCCAGTAATTGATGACAAGGAGACTAAGGTAGGTGAGGACCTAGACGCGGTTATTATCATGAAAGAGGTAATGTTGGGCAAGCTAAAGGAGCTCAAGGTAGACAAGTCCCCTGGCCCTGATGGAATGCATCCCAGGGTACTAAAAGATGGTGGGAGTAATAGCAAATGCACTTGTGGTAATTTTCCAAGATTTGCTGGATGCTGGGGCAGTTCCAGCAGATTGGAAAATGGCAAATGTGACGCCGCTGTTTAAAGACTAAGGTAGACAAAAGATGGGGAATTATAGGCCAATTAGCTTAACTTCTGTAGTGCGGAAAATGCTTGAATCTATCATCAAGGAGGAAATAGCAAAACACCTAGATAGAAATCTAGGTGGGCACACGCAGCAAGGGTTCATAAAAGGTCATGCTGAACTAACTTTTTGGAATTCTATGAAGACATTACGAGCACAGTGGACAATGGAGACCCAGTAGATGTAATGTATCCGGATTTCCAAAAGGCATTCACCAAAGTGCCGCGCAAAAGGCTGCTGCATAACATAAAGATACACAGCAATACAGGCAATGTATTAGTATTGACAGAGGATTGGTCACCTAACAGGAAGCAAAGAGTGGGGATAAATGAGTGTTTTCCTGGTTGGTGAACAGTGACTAGTGGTGTGCCTCAGGGATCAGTGTTGGGACTGCAATTGTTTACAATTTACATGGATGAATTGGAGTTGAGGACCATGTGTAGTGTGTCAAAGTCTGTGGATGACACGAATGAATAGTAGAGCAAAGTGTGCAGAAGACTGTAAAAGTTTACAGAGGGATATAGACTATTTAAGTGAGTGTACTCCATCTGCCAGACCTTTGCCCACTGTTGATAAATGTGAAGTTATCCATTTTGGTAGGAATAACAGTAAAAGGGACTATTATTTGAATGGTAAAAAATTGCAGCATGCTGCTGTGCAGAGGGAGCTGAGAGTCCTTGTGCATGAATTGCAGAATGTTGGTTTGCAGGTGCAACAGGTAATGAAGAAGGCAAATGGAATTTTGTTCTTCATTGCTAGAAGGATTGAGTTTAAAAGCAGGGAGGTTGTGTTACAGCTGTATGGGGTGTTGGCGAGGCCACACCTGGAGTACTGCATGCAGTTTTGGTCTCCTTATTTGAGAAAGAATGTACTGGCCCTGGAGAGGTTGCAGAGGAGATTCACTAGGTTAATTGCAGAGTTGAGATGGTTGACTTATGAGGAGAGACTGAGTAGTCTGGGATTATATTCATTGGAATTTAGAAGAATGAAGGGGGATCATAGAAGCATATAAAATTATGAAGGGGATAATAAGATAGAAGCAGGGAGGTTGTTTCCTCTGGCGGGTGAAACTAGAACAAGAGGGCATAGCCTCACAATTATGGGAAGTAAATTTAGGACTGAGTTAAGGAGGAACCTCTTCACCCAAAGGGTTGTGAATCTTTAGAATTCCCTGCCCAGTGAAGTAGCTGAGGCTTCCTCATTGACTGACTGTGTTTTTAAAGCTAAGATAATTTTTTGAATGGTAAAGGAATGAAGGGTTATTGTGTGCGGGCAGATAAGTGGAACTGAGGCCACAAAAAGATCAGCCATGATCTTATTGAATGGCAGGGCAGGCTTGAAGGACCAAATGGCCTACTCCTGCTCCTGGCTCTTATGTTCTTACTGCTCGATTCTATGAGTAGCAATCTGCTACTACCACTCTCAGGCCCAGTCAGTGTATGTCCTAATCAAAGATGTTTATTACACAACTCTGGAGCAGGTGGGATTTGACTCCAGGCCTCTTTTGTTCAGAGGTAGGGATGCTACCACTGTGCCACAAGAGTCCAAGTGGCCAGTCAATTGTAAGCCTGGCTATAAGAGTGGATATGACCACCTAATTGGTAAAAACTTGTGCCATCCATGTAGATCCTGGAAAACAACCAGGAACAGAGATCCTTGCTCTCTTCTTCTGCTAGACCAGGGGTCAACAATCTGTAGCCGTACAACCATATGATTTGACATGTTATTTGCCGATGCCAACCTTTTCAAGTAGGATCACATTCACATGAAACAAGAGTTCTTCAGAAAATTAAGTCAAGAAACATAAACCTGTGTTTTTTTTATTGCAGGGATAAAAGGATAATTATTATGCTGCATTTTATGGCTTCAAATGATGATTTTTTGTGAAAACAATCATGCTCCAACTAAGCCTATTCGAGTGGTTATGGCAACAGTGTGCTATGGCATGTTTATAAATTATGCCCTTGGGGATTTGAAGAACAGGTTTTATAGTTATGACCATTATTGTTTCTAATGTCAATGAAAAGCTACATTATTTTGAAAAACATAATACCACAAGAATCAATAGCCAAAAAGTTGTCTTGATTCTTCATATCTTAAAGTTTGTTTTGAAGATGGCTTTACTGACAATTTTTATGAAAAGAAACATTAAAAAAACAAAATTCAGAGTTAGGTCTGTTTAACTTTTTTCTCTTGATGTAAAAATTCAATACATGTATTTTATTGATCATATATGCAGTTAAGCATCCACCAGAGGTACTTGACAATTTGCTAAGAGGTTGGTTTTGACAAGCTGAATGTTAATTTTTTTTGCTGCTCGCAATTTGGGAAAATGTTTTTAAAAAGGCTCTTCAGGTGAATGAGGTTGCTGACCCTTGGCATAAACCCAGTTACTACCTGCCATGTTAACTCAATACAGACCAGGAATCAAATCTGAATCTTTTGATTTCTATTGCCTGGATAATTTTTTTCATGAAACTATCATATCCAATATCCTCAGCCATGTTTTTAGTCCTGTTGATGTGTCATTGTCATTTATCCCTTGATGCTGATGCATGCGTTTTTTTTTCTAAAACCATACACCTGGCATTCTTCTGTGTTTTTAAAAAAGTAGGCATGCTGGCTCAGTGGTTAGCACTGCTGCCTCACAGTGCCAGGGATCTGGGTTTGTTTCCACCCTCGGGAGTTTGCATATTCTCCCCATGTCTGCGTGGGTTTCCTCCAGGTGCTCCTGTTTCCTCCCACAGTCCAAAGATGTGCAGGCTAGGTGGATTGGCCATGCTAAATTGCCTGTAGTGTAGATTAGGTGGGTTATAGCGGGGTGGGTCTGGGTGGGATGCTTTGAGGTTCACTGTGGACTGGTTGGGCCGAAGGGCCTGTTTCTGCACTGCAGGGATTCTATGAGGAATCTGAAGTTATAATCTCGCTACAATTGTTACCATATGCTTTATTTTGAAATCACTTGCCCCTTATATAGTGCTTTCACATTTAGTAGTTATTATCACTGACATATGATGCAGTAAATATTCTTGTTACTTCACCTCACCCATGTCTCAGTAAATTGATAGTTCTGACATTAACAATCTAGCCACTACAAAATGATCACAATTGCTTGAGAGAATATTGTTTTATTTTTAAAAGCCAAGTTGCATTTACCAGTCACTGTTGCAAATAAAATGGATGAAGTACATAAAATGTCTTATCCCCAAGACGCACATTAAATTCCTTAACTCGATAGCATCCTCCGAGAATGCTACTTTTCTCCAACTCTGACCTCTTCTGTGATCCTGATATCCATCCCCCTATGCTTAGACATGTTGGGACCAGCCAACTAGGACTCGAACTTACAAATTCCTGCCAAACCACAGCTACCTCTGTTCCTCTCCAAATCTCTTTCCTTTCACGATCTGCTATAAACTCATTACCTCAACTAAGTTTTTGATCACCTTGCTTTAATATCTTCGCTTACTTCTTGTTTTGGTGTCAATTTTTGACTGGCTCTTATGATGTTAATTCAATTATAGATGCCATGTAAATACAAGTTGTTGTAAATTCTCATATTTGAAAGTGCATTAATAATGCTGCTAGTGGTGAGTGCATTATTGTCAATGAGATGATTGCCACTGATGCTTAACCATAAGTTAATGAAAGTATCAGATTGCCCCTTTGTACTCTGAATATTAGAAATTTATTGCACAATTCATTGATTTGCTATTTAATATTTATGAATTCTTTCTTTTTTAATTTTACACAAGTGGTGAAGTCTGGTTTGTCACAGCCACCTCCTGCTGTTCCACCACGACCTCCGACAGCTAAGGTAAGATGCAGCGTGCAGTGCAACGACCAGAGTACTCGATGTGTCAAGTCTTCTCATTTAGATGACAGTGTACATTTTTGCGAAGAGTAATCCAGAATAATTAAAGTGAAAATATTGTGGTAGAATTAGAATTGCAAAGTGAGTTCTTGCTACATCTGATAGGAAAGGAAGGGGACGTATTTGTTCAGCAGCCCCAGAGGGAGACCAGTGCAGGCCATGTGATGTTTGCAGTGTATGTCTCAGGATACTAAAGCAGATGTCACAGTTTAGCCAAGGAAAGACAAGCTGATTAAGAGAGCTGCAAATGTGCCCTGGCACTATTTCATAGTTTACATCTTGTCTTTAAACAAACATCCTGTGATAGGTGGAGAGAAAGAAGCATCCTAGGAAAGGAGAGCATGGTATAGGGCTTGAAGAGTAAAACTGACACTACTGTGTTTGGATTCATTCCTTATGTTGCTGCCTCTGTAGTGCAGTGATCCTGAGAGGCCTTGGAGCATCACCACATGCTGCTAACCCTTGACTTTGCCTGACCTGCTGCTTTGGGGAGTTGGTGAATTCAGACCTGTCAAAATCCTCATATTAGGTAGAGCACATCAGGATGGATGTCCTGGGATTGTTCCTGCACGTCTCCGGTCATCAGGCTCGGAGCAGATTAACTGTCACCCTCTTAGCTGTAAGCCGTCAAAGAGATCAAGAGGCTAGGCTCAGAGGAAGCATACAAACTCTCTCCGTATTTATTTTTGTAGCAATGCGGAGGTGAAAGCATTGTTATACATGTCAGTTCACTCTGTGATCGTTTGCATAGTTTTGAGCCAGAATAAGTGCATAGGGAATTAGGCACAGAACCATTTAAAATTCAGAATAACTTTTCCTTTGACTCTCACACCTACCATTTTCCTGGGTTTTTCCATATCCATTTCCATATCTGCTGTAGAATGGGCTGTCAGAAGTTGTCTGACAGAATTGTATTTAATTACCTGCTAGGATTAATTGAGTTTGTAAGTATAAATGAGCTTTCACAATCCAGTGCTAATATTACTGACTTTAGCGAGGACTTGATGCCTTTCACAGAAGGAAGACAGAGAAAATTTGCAGAAATAAAATCTGTAATCCTGGAAGACTGTTAGTTGGCGTTGGAACATTTTCCTGTCATCTTTTGCAGATTGCTCCCTTTCCTAACAAAGCTGAGACCTGTAATGTTTCTGCTGAACAGCTGGAGAAAGTTCAACAGCCAAATTTTGCAGATTTCAGCAAGTTTAGTGAGCAGGTAAGAACAATCCAATGAATCATTTCTGTTCATAAACAGATTAATTTATATCCATGTTACTATGTGGCAGGGCAGGATGATATATAACTGCAGGATAGGCCAGAAAGTAGGCTGAGGAAAAACTGGAGTGTTTGTTTTGTTTAGCATTATCATCTCTGAACCAGCAGACCTTAAGCTGGAGACTTGAGCCTAGTGAGTAGACTGTTACTTCTATGCAGTATGGTGATCTTTCTGTACCGTCAGAGATTCTGACTTTTTAGGTGAAACATTAAATCAAGGGCCCATTCGGTGTGTTACTGGCTGTTGAAGATCCACTGTATACGTTAGAAAGAAGAGCAGGTACTCCTCCCAGTGTTCTAGCCAAAGGTTATGGCTGAGTTAACTTCACTAAGTCAAACTGTGGTCATTTCTTCCACTGCTGCCAATGAGGCTGTTTCATGTGAATTTGATAAAATGTTTTGTATATGAATATAGAAAACAGCAGTAGGCCATTCAGCCCTTCAAGTCTATTTCACTATTCAATAAAATCATGGGCTAATCTGTTCATGCTACATTCCCATCCATTTGCCGAAGAAGAAGCTTCACCTTTAAAAATATTCATCTTTCCTTCATACCATCAGTGTCTGTAATTCAGAAGTGGCTGTGAAGCTCTTTGGAGCACCCTGAGGATGTGAGCGTTTCTATAGAAATGAAACTTTCCTCTTAAGGTGGAAGATCAGTAGCCCTAATGACAGTCTAGAGCCAATCTATGACTACTGACTGTAATGGCGTGGCAACTTTTACTACCTTCACGCTGACTTAAATTACTCATTTTGCACACTGATCTAATATATTCAGGGTTAACCACTCCAGCAGTGTCTAAATGGTGCTTTAGAAGTTACTAACATCTTCTCAATTGTACAAGATTTGAATGAAAGTATCCTCATTCAAACTGAATTTACAACAGATTTGTGAGTTCTATTATAACACTGACATTAGAAATCAACGGATTTGGTCATTTTATATTTCCTCTTCAAAACTTTTCCCTTCCTGTGGCCTTGGCTTCCTTGAGAGCTTTCTACCAGTGGCACTCTGAGCCCAGCTCATTAGATGTATGTGACAGCAGTTTAAGGTTTACTGTATCTCCAAACCCATTAGAGACTCCTCTGTTCACTGCTTAGCTCCCTGGGACTCTGCTTCCCCAGGACTCTGATTCACTACTTTGGGAGAATGCCATTGTAAGAGGCAGGTAAACTTTGAGCATCATATTCAGAGTTACTGAGAGACAGTTTAAGATTCTGCAATGAGTTATGAAAACCAATGGGTCATCTTTAAATGTGCAAATTAAGCTGTGACACACAACGTACTCCCTAACTTCCAGGCTGTCATCACATAACATAATGAAAACTCTGTGTGGTTGACAATACTGAACAAAAAATTAGATATAATTTACATTTATTCAGTTTTTTTTTCCAGATCAGACCTGACTTCTGGTTAAATTTGACTTCAGTAAATCGGCCAAATTTTACATGCAATAAGAGTTCATGTTTGATGTGAATGCCATTTCTGATCTCATTTTAAAGAAGGATCATTTTAGACATGGTCCTGTGCAGTTCTGGTCAGCTCATTAACGTTCTTTTTCTGGTCCCGTTGCGTCTTCTGTAGGGCCTCACCCTTGGGACAGGGAGCCTTTGGGCTCCCCACTGAAGGCCAGTTCCTTACGTGTGAGGTTAGATGGTGGGTGCTACGGACCATGGTGACTGAGGAAAGTTTCATCAGAGACAGCCCTGATCCTCCCCTCCTCTGATTTCCACAGTTCGGTACCTGTGATCAGTCTTACCTCACTAATCTGGGGTCCCAATTCTAGTTATAGTCTCCACAGTCTTGTCCAGGTCAATGGTCAGCTAATCAGAACTAACTCTACACTGAACCAAGTACCTTCCTGATGAGTTGGTTATTGATTTAAACTATCAGGCCATCCTTGCCCTCTGTTGTACAATCCACAAACAGTAGCTTTTTTTTATATACTTTGCCCAACTCTTCAATATAAGGGTCTAAGAGTAGAAGGCCTTAGCTAACGATTCTGGGTGTTACGGCATCAGTTAAACCTAATTCTTTGTCGCTATCTCACTTTACCCCCTCCCCTCCCCCTCTCGCTCCACTTGACCCACAGCAGGAGTAAACCAACACGTTTCAAGCTACCACTGTAAGGTACATTTTAGCAGGTATGAACCTTGTACCCACTATGATTCCATGCCAATAGAAATGACTGGAGAGGAACCTTGACTACCCTATACATATTAGAGATAGTAGGAACTGCCGATGCTGGAGAATCTGAGATAACAAGGTGTAGAGCTGAATGAACACAGCAGGCCAGGCAGCATCAGAGGAGCAGGAAAGTGGACGTTTCAGGTC